GCCCACTGCCCCACGCCCTGGCCAGCCCCGCCCCTGATGGCCCCCATCGGGGTGGGCCGGCTGGACCCCACCAGTGCACGAATTTGTGCATCAGGCCTCTAGTATTACTATAAATCTGAAAATATACATTAGCATATATCTAAACATACACAATTTGCATGCACTGTCTACAGTTTTCTCAGTTTGGGGATTATGAGGTTTTTACATCCTTTCCTAAAAAAACAAAACAAAAGTAACCTTTGTATTTCAGAAACATTCTCAGCCATGAACAAAAAGAAGACCAGCAGTTCCGCTTAGCGCGAAGCGAGTTGAGAGACGTGTAGCTTACCTCTCCGTGGCCGTGAGCACCGCCGTCCCGTGCTCTGGGGTCTGTGGAAGACAAGAGCGTTATCGAAGTCCTGGTCGGGAGTGGCACTGCGGGTGTCGCAGTGTGCACGCCGCCACCGAGCCTTCTCGACGCGATGCCGTCGCCCGTCTCCCTCCTGTGTGGGCGCAGGCGCTGCCCTGCACACTGACGGAGGAGGAGCTCCAGCTAAACGGGAAGCGTGGTCGCTCGCACAGCCACCCCGCTCCCCGGACCTGCGTGTGTCCGTGTGGCTCACACAGGAAGCACCGCCCTGCGGGACAGGCTGTGGCTGTGAAAAGGGGAAGCGGAGCATCCAACCCACACCTCCTTGCGAAGGTGTCTCCTGAACATGCGGACGCGGTATTCGCTGTGGCGGTCACTTCTCTAAGCCAGCATCCTGCCTGCAATGCCCCCAGTGCACCCCTCACCGCGCCCTCCTGACGCCCCGCAACCCCCCAGGACTTTCTAGACCCCCCAGCCCTCAGAGTGGGTGTCAGTCCTTGAGTGCCCACTGCCTCGCAACGCCTTGTCCCGGGGAGTTCCAGTATCTTCCACAAGCCCTTGCTACCAAGCTGGAATATGAAACTGTCCAGGTGGGCCACTGTGCGTGGTATTGAAATCTGTCTCCATTAATGGAATGGGCTGAACCAGGAGCGCACGGGGATTGGACTTAGAGAAACGAGTTCAGGACAGTGCCAGCTGCTGGACTTCCTGTGAGTAGGAAAGTTCTAGAAGGTGGATGGCCCACGTGCATGGTTTACATACATCTGCAGCTAGGAACTCAATTTATGATCAAACCAAAGTGTATTTTACCACAATATTTAAAAATTTAAATACAAAAAGTGGACATGGCACTTTTCATTGCCTAAAAGTGGCCGCGGTCACAGGCGGGGCCGGCGTGTTGCTCCCTAGTTGGAGGAGGACTGGCCCATGAGGCACGAATGGGACAGAAGAGGGAGGTGCAGCGCTGCCACTGCCCTCGGTGGCCCTGCTTCATGCAAGGCACGGTCGCACGGGGAACCCAAGGGGCAGGACACCCCACACGGATAGCATTGGTCTTGGCAATTGTGTGTGTCTACCTTTGTGTCTAGTGTTCAGGTTTCGCGTGGTAACCATTTATTACGTATATAACTGGTAAAGGAACAAATAATCGTTTACAAATTCTATTTCCCGTAGCGAACAGGTCACACAATGACAGGCTAACCCAGCCGTGGGCAAACTACGGCCCGCGGGCGGGATCCGGCCCGTTTGAAATGAATAAAACTAAAAAAAAAAAGACCGTACCCTTTTATGTAATGATGTTTACTTTGAATTTATATTAGTTCACACAAACACTCCATCCATGCTTTTGTTCCGGCCCTCCAGTCCAGTTTAAGAACCCATTGTGGCCCTTGAGTCAAAAAGTTTGCCCACCCCTGGGCTAACCTGTTAGCAGGGAGCACTCCGCCTGGGGGTGACCCGGACACCAGGTCTGCTGCTGGGGCGCTGGACCCACGACATCTGTCTACAGCACCGCCACTCCATGCTCACTGTGAACTTTGTCCTTTCCACGCCTGCCTCACGTAGGTCTTTGAGTTTTACGTTGCTTTAAAGCAGGGGTGGGAACCTTTTTTCTGCCCACAGCCACTTGGATATTTATGGCATCATTCTCGGGCCATACAAAATTATCAACTTAAAAATGAGCCTGCTCTATTTGGTCAAACATTTAATTAACTCACCCCAATGCCTTGGCAGGGCCAGACCCAATGATTTCTCGGGCCTTATCTGGCCCGCGGGCGGGACGTTCCCCACCTCTGCCCTAAAGCTTTGGAAGGGACAGGTGTAAACAATGAATAGAGGAGGAAGACGGTCTCTTTTCCATCATGGACACTGGCCACACGCGGGAGCCAGGCCTGACGCGTCCATCACCTTGGAAGCACGTGGGGTGGGTTTTCCTGGAGCTTTACCTGGAGCTGCTGAAGGCCAGGGTCATGAGTCACATGGCCATTTTCACAGGCCCCTCCCTCCCTGCTCTGGGCGGCCACCCTGAGAAGTCAGGACACACCTGCCCACCCCTCTGGCTTTCCTGGCCTCCCTCAAGGTTATTTGAAGGGGAACATAAGTTTTCGTGGAGAGGCTGCGGCGCCTGTGCCTTCATGGGAATTCTGCCCTGGGCATGACTGTGGACTTCTGCAGGGGGTAGGGGGACGGGAGGGGAAGTGGGGGCTGTAAGGCCCTAGACCACAAACTTAGGGAGAAGTTGGTCTTTCCTTGTCCATTTTCATTTAAACACAGAAGGCCACAGTCTATTCCTCCCCTGGCTCACACCCCTCCCTCCAGGATCTCAGTGAGCTCACCTGTGCCTCTGCGCCCCCTACAGGCTTAACATAGCACTGCGCACAATGCAGTCAGAGAAAGCTAGAATTTGGAGCTAAATGGCCACTTAAAACATTAATGGACCAATTAGCCACAGTAACAAGTCTATTGTATTCACATCTGCCTTTTGGACAGCTGGCTCTTAAGAACTCCCACTGGGTCTCACGGGATCCTAGGTTGGGCCAGCCACCATCCACCCTCAAGCTGTCGCTTCCTCCTCAGGAAACTGAGGCTGGAAACAGCACCATCTTTTGAGGTTGGACCCTCTATGTGGAAGAGTCTGGCACCTGCTGGACCCAGGGATGCAAATGGAGAAAGAGGCACGTTCGCCAGCTCCCCAGAGCGTAGGGCCCACAGGAGACGGGCACCGACCAGATATCACCGTGGGAGCGGCACTGTGCGGCATGTCCTGGGAGGAAGGGCAGGCGCAGCCCGGGGTGGGGTGGCTGGGGTGGGGGGGATCGAGCACCTTTCCAACAGTCAAGGTGGACGCTGCTCAGAAGTGGAGTGGCTGTGCTGCTGACGTGGTAAAATGGGGCACCGCTGGAAGGCGCCCCCGACGGAAGGCACATCACCGCCTCTTGCTGAACACCGAACATGAAGGGCCAAGTCTCCGTCTGGAGCCTGGGCCACGGGGATAGGGAGCTGCATGCTGTCCTTAGGAGGCCACCAGCAAAGTCCAGATGGTGAAAAACTCTGCGGGACAAGTGAGCTAGCGAGCCAGTTCGACAATAAATAAATTGCGTAATGAATTGCCAGGAAAGAGAAAAGAGGGAGGAGAAACCTGTAGATCAAAAGGGGCCAGCCCTGGCCGGGTCGCTTGGTGGGTTAGAGCGTTGGCCATACACCAAGGTTGTGGGTTTGATCCCTGCTCGGGGCACATACCGAGTCAACCAATGATGCACCAATAGGTGGGACAACAAATAGATCTCTCTCTGTCTCTCTCTCTCTCTCCCCTCCCTCCCCTCCCTCTCCTTCTCTCTCCCTCCTCTCTCTCTCTCTCTCCCTCCCCTCTCCTCTCCTTCTCCTTCTCTCGCTCCCTCTTCCTCTCTCAAATTAAGAAATAACAATTTAAAACAATAAAAATAAAAGGGGCTTCACAGATGTAGCCACCAACTCAGTGGACCTTCTTTGTACTTTGAATCAAAAAAGAACCAACTGTAAAGAAAGTTACAACAACAGAGCAATCTGAGTGCTGACTGCTATTTGATGCCCTGAAAACACTGCCGTCGATTTTACTCCAGGACAGAACTGCTGGTCAGGCTCAGGCAAGTCCAATCTCTCGGCAAAGCAATGCTGCTATCCCACGGTGGATCACTTGGTGACAGGGAGGGG